TAGTGTTTATGGTACATACCGTACATACAGTGAAGTAAATACTTCATTTCTTTAACTGCTTCATAAGTAAGTTTGCCATCATGCTGAGCCATAACTGCATTCATTTCCGTCCGAGCCTTCTCTTGAATGTCTGGATTTAAAGCCAGTTCGTATAAACAAAAACTCATTACACTTGAACTTGTTTCAAAACCTGCTACAAAAAATAAAAATGTCTGTGCAGTTATCTCTTCCATTGTTAAAGCATCTGATGTCTCTGATTTTCTTAACTCCATTAATATATTAAGATAATCTTTTCGTTGTATACCCGTTTTCTCTCGATATTCTACAGTGTCACGAACAATTTGAAAGAAGAAGTCTGAAATTTCTTTTGGAAACAGTTTCATTCTGAATTTTCGTGCTAAATTTGGAAAAGTGTTCATAAGCGAAACCACAGGCATACTGTGTTTAAAATAACCAATTTTTTCACAAGTTTTACTAAATTTACTTGTTGGTTCCTTTAATCTATTGCACTCTAAACCGAAAGCAACACTTCCAATAACATCTGTTGTATAGCGTGACATAAGATCTGCAAAATCAATTCCTATATTCATATCTGCAGACTTTCGCTCATCTTCCAAAACATTGATTAATTGATCAGCTACATCGACGACAGTGGTAAACATACTTTTTATTTTTCCTGATGTGAAAGTTGGAGTTAATTTTGTTCGTAAATTTTTCCAGTGCTCTCCTTCTAAAAACAGCATGACAGCAGAAATTGGATCATCTTTTTTATTATAATACGTTCCCCGACCTGGAAAATTTGCAAAATCCTTAACACATATATGCTGAATTAAATCGGGATCGAGCAGTATAATCGTTTTGTTGAGAAAGAAATAAAATCCAACGAATCGTGCTTTTTCCTTGAATTTCATATAATATTCTTGGAAAATATCATACAATGTTTTGGTGCGATAAAATTCCTTAAGATTTCCGAAAAAAAACACTGGTTTATCGTGCAATACACCGCTGTCCTTAAAATATGAATATTGCTTCCGTAACGCCAAATAAATAAGCAGGAAGCTGCCGCATATAAAACACACAAGAATTTTTATTAAGTCTATCATGGTGTCTCTACTGTTCGTTAAAGGTTGTAAACTTGACTGTCACTATTTATATGTACAACACCAATTAAATAGTCTTATTTTTAATAACTTATTGTATTAAAATAAAATAAAAACGTAATTTACATAGCTTTTTAATTGTCTTAAAATGAAAATTACTTCAACGTCAATTAAATAATTGCTTTTATTGTAGTCTTTTTTAAATCATTGCTTATTTAATTACATATTATTGGGACTTTGTCCTCTACTATCCTAACTCCTATTATTTTAATTGATACTTAGTTGTTTTAACATCCGTTTCACATCAGCAGATATTGATATATTTGAGTCCAATTTGGTTCAGATAAATATTTAGCTCATTATATCTTCATAGAAACCTAACAGAAGTTTAGCGTTATATCATTTATTGCTACTCTTCATATCATTCTTTTTTTCACAATATACGTCTTCGAAGTCAGTCCTATTGTTATGATCATAATAACAACACGAACGTGAAGTTGAAAGGCGTACAGAAAAATCCTTTCGTTCACTTTCATATCTGCTTATTACTCTCGAGGCCACATCCGATATGCTTTAAGCTTACTTTCTGGAAATCTTCATGAACCGTAATCGGAACAGTTTCATGCCATAACACGATTGGTATAACTGAAATCACTGGTATAATCTGAAATATGCTAAAAATTCAATGTAAATATAAAGTTAAATAACTTTGAAAAGAAAAGAAAGAATAATTGATACGCAATATAAACTTTCGTATGAAGAGTATTAATAATTCGGCAAAGCTGAAGTTACATCTATTTTCATGTTTTAATTCAATTAAGTATATGCTATTTTTTCTTGAAATTGCTGTCAGAAAAGCTATACTCATTTAAAATATTATACAAAATGGGTTTATTTTTAAGTAGTAAGTTTTTATTGTTTTGTTTAAAAAAGTTTAGATAAATGTGTTAAGTTCTAAATAATAACAATTTAACTAGATGAATAAAATTATCGTCGTCTGTGCGAATCGTAGAGTAACATTGGCATGACTTTCACAGTATTACGTTCCTAGATTAGGTTTTATACATTGGAAAGAATATGCAACAAATAATGCCTCTGCAAACAGTATAGTATAGAAATTTAACAATTAAAAATAAATATATATAATTAATTAATTCAATTATCATTTCGTTCTAATATAAACACAGCAAGAGAATTTATTAATAACATATAACTTTCACAACAAATTAACAAAACTCCAGGAAAATATGCGAACATAAAAGTAATACCTCTCTGCTTAACGCTAAAGCACAAATCATTCGCATTACTCCCGACGTTCTCCAACCTAGTACCCTGCTATATGACTTGAAATCCATAATTCAGTACAACTCTCCTCAATATCGTTCATTATACTTCAAATCCTTGCATTTAACTATTTCCATCATTCCTCTCCATAACCGTCATTTTCACGATTCCAGTTATAGAGCCTATAAGTAACCTGCCAAACGTGCAGGTTATATTGGCAGACAGATGAAGACAGATGCTTTCTTCGATTGCTAATGTGTTAAAGAAAGTAGGACTAGAGGACATCAATATCGCAAATAGTGTTGCACAGATGAAGAGACAAGTACAACATTAGAACAAAATTTTACAATACATTGAAAGTATGCCTTAAAACAAGAGACAAGACTTTATCATAAGTTGAAATAAGACGAAAAACAATTTGGAGATCCTATCTTCAAGTAATGTTGCGATAATTCTAGTGTAATATAGACTCAAGTAATGAGACGATTTTTTAGTCCATTTAAATCAGACATACCACTAATGTGTTAATGATTGACGATACATTAGGCTATTTTCAAAGACAAATCCACAATATAATGTGATTTTAAAAAGATTGTCCATAATACAATAAATTAACAAAATGAAGTTTATAATTTTATCATTGTTTAAAAACAAAATTTAGAAATATTTCACTATTTGAGGAAAGAACTGAACAATCTTTAACATCACTTTTTCTTAAGGACTGTAACTACTTCAAAATACTTCGTAAGCCTTCAGTGGAATATATCAATACACTTTTGTTTTCGTATGAGTTATTGAAAGCCTCATCTACTTTTAGTGACGTTGGAGACACATATCTTAAATTATTGAATGTGTTAACTACCTGTAATAAGATGAGGTCACATGGAAGGTAATTTCATATATCTCTTATATATATATAACTTTTTGACATATAGATTATACAAGTGTCTTTATAGATTATATGAAGTCTTATAGAGATCCTGCATGAAAAATTAACTTCATTCATTCGTGTACTTACTTTTTTGAACAACTGCTTAGATTTATATTTAATTTATTTATTTTCATTTATAAAATTATATTTAACGCACTCATTTGATTACCTCAATTACTGTGCATCTAAGTTGACAACATTTGTAGATATATTGTTATATCGATCGATGTCATTTAGGTTATAGATATATATATATATACATACATAATTTTTTCAAAAGAGTAGTAAAGGTATTGTATAATAATAGAATATTAAAACAAATTAAAACAAAAATTTAATCCATAAAACTGTAGAAAATACGTTTTATTGGCTACTACACAGATTATTTATAGATATAGATAATAATAGTAAGAACTTGCCCTTACCAGCAAATGTACCGTGTCCAAATAAACGGTACGGTAATGCTTTATAAGGTAACATATAAACGCCCATGAATTATAACAATAGCCACTTTTTCATCAAATCGAAATATTTTTTATTGCTATGTATGTACATAATAGTGTTTTTATTTAACTGTTTTTTTTAATTGTTCGTTTGAAATGTATTTCAATATTAAAGTAAAAAGTTATGAAAATAAATTTCAATATAAGCGATTTATTTTTACAGAGTTTATTCATCGGAAGGATTGACTCAGAAAAAGTTAATTTATTGCGTTCAAACATTTAAAGTGCAGTCTTAGTATTTTTGGAAAATGTTTATTAAGTTCTATAGCATCTGCCTAACTTATTTATCGATATTTACAACTAATGTTATACTTAAGGACAACCATCTTACATTGACAACAATACGTGCGGAGTTTCAAATTAACCATCGGACAGCTGTTTATGAAATTCTTTTAGATATATTATCTAAATATAATTTTGAAACAATATATCTAAAAACCACTTCAACTTGTTCGCTATCTAAATTAATTGGAAATCTGACCATACCAGTTATAATAGACGATCTACGTACAAGCTCCCAAATAAAGCCTACAATCAACAGTAACCTCATAGCAGTTGTCTTCTGGAACAAGAACCTCAGCATAAGTACGTTAAATCTGTTAGTACAAACATTACATAATATGCGAGAAACGAAAATAATGATCTATGTGTCTACAGCTTCAGAAAAGTACTCATTTAAATTAGTTGAAAACATACTAAGTTTCTTTTATAATCATAAAATGTTTAACGTTTTTGCTTTCATTGGAGACTCCAGTTATAAATCTGAGTTCTACACATTCTGGGCATATCCGAATTTCCATATAGTAAAAGAAAGTGTAAACGCTTTAGCAGATTATTTTCCAAATAAATTTAAAAACTTATATGGTACTAGTATAATAACACTACCAGACCAGTTAGAACCAAGAACAATAGTGCACAGGAATAAATTGGGTCAACAGGTGTTAACTGGTTATGTCGGGAAATTCATGCTCACACTCGCTTGGAAATTAAATGCTACACTGAAATATGCACGACCAGTAAAAGGTGGAGAAATCATTTTTTATGGTGATTTACTTGCGTCAACAAAAAATGGAACCTTGGATATGCCAGCCAGTATTCTACCCATTACAAATGTAAGTGACTTCCACTATTTTACTTATCCATTCGAGTTTGTCCATTCATGTTTAATGATTCCAACAGCAAAGGATGTACATTTGAAAGATATCTATTTATATATATTTAATCTTAAGTTCGTCGTCATCTGTGTGATAATTTATTTTGCTTTCACACTTTTTCTCATGCTACACCAATTAAAGTTGACCATTCTTCGATATAAACGAAAACATTATCAATGTCACATATTCGAATTTATACTTAATGATGTCACATTGCGTGGTTTATTGGGTCAAACCTTTAACATGTTGCCCAATGCAAATATTACGCTTAAACTAGTATACATATTGCTATCCTTATCTGGTTTATATATAAGTAGCCATCTACAGGCTTACTTACAGACTATGTTAACGCAGCCTCCAAAAGAGCGTCAGCTAATGACATTTAAGGATGCTTCTGAAGCAAAACTTCCAATTCTTGTCAGCGAAGAGGAGCTTATATTCTATACAAGTACACAAAACTTATACAGTGAATACTCTTTACATTTTGTCTCAACTTCTTATGCTGACTTCCATCAGAAACGCAATGATTTGTTTGTTAAGTACGCTTATCCAATACCTAATATCCTATGGATGGTTTATGAGCAACAACAAAAATTTTTTTTACGGAAGCTGTTTGTTTTTTCGTGGGAAGCCTGTTTTATGAGTACTACTTACTATGGGTTTACATTGCAGAAGCATTCGTTATATAGACCAGCTGTTGAAAATCTTATATTGGATGTACGCGCTTACGGATTAATCGATAACTGGTTTCATGCAAATTTTTATGATATGGTAATGGCCGATAGAGTTTCATTTACAGATAAAAGCAATCCGAAGGTGTATGGAGGCTCATTAAAAATTGAAGACTTGCAATGGGTGTGGATTACATATATATTACTAATAATTTTAAGTATTTGGATTTTTACTGTAGAATTTTTTATCGCACATTTTATTATTAATAAATAAAGGAAACTTATAAAATTTCCAAATGAATTACCGCTTTATACAGCTTCTTATAACGTAGAAGACTACTGCTTAATGATACCATTGCCAAGCTATAGACGAACGTTTGATATTTTTACGGATATTATTCCGTGGGGTCTCAGAGCTATTATACCAATTTTAGTATTAATATTTGCTTTACTGTTTCTGTGCAGTATGCATCAAAGTCGAAACAAGATTTCTTACTTGGATATATTTTTGAATGATAAAAGTATTAGAGGTGTACTTGGACAATCATTTACGCTGCCCAGTAAATTGAATTTAAAAACCAAATTAATTTGTGCACTTCTTTGCTATTACAGTTTAATTGTTAATACAGGCTATCAAGCAAATTTACAATCGCTTCTTACACATCCACCAAAAGACACCACAATGAAAACTTTCAAGGACTTGGAAGATGTAGACTTTAAGATTTCTTTATCACGTTTGGAGTTCAATATGTTTACATTAAACAGAACAATTAAAAAATTATTAAGATTTGAGGAAACTTACCGAGACTTTGTGAAATTGCGTGAATCAATGAATACGAGTTATGCCTACCCAGTATCTCGTACACGTTGGCAGGTGTTTCATGAAAGACAAATGACTTACGAAAACAACGTTTTTTACTATGCCGATAATATGTGTTTCCTCAAATTCATTGATCTTAGTATACCGGCTCGTAAATATTTACCCTATCGTAATGTGTTTGCTGAGCATATACAGCGCTTACACGCAAGCGGTTTAATAAATTATTGGACATCCTTTAATTTTTACGATATGGTTAGGCAAAATCTTACAAGTTTAGAGGATATAAGTGAACCAGTAAAATGGGCTCAACCATTAGGTTGGTATGATTTGATAAAGGTATGAATTTTGTATATTTTTGGTGCTGTCATCTCTTTGTTTGGATATACTTTGAAAAAATAACTTGGATATACATGCAGAAGCGTAAATTTAATCGGAAATTATACACTAAAGCGTATAGTAATAAAAAGAACTCATTTATGTATTTACCATAGTTATATCTTACATAATAAAATAAATGCAAATACATATTTTTACATATTATTATTCTTTATGCATTTATAAGAGTAGAAATTGGTGGATGAAGATTTGATTTTCACAAGTTTTATTTAAATTCTTTTTATTATTATTATTTTGGTATATTAAAAGATTGGTTCCGTGAGTGCTGGCTGTAGCGAACTAGTGACTTATCCAAAGAATTAAAAAATTTATTAATAACACACGTACTTTAAACTATTTTTTTCGTATATAAGAAGTTTGAAAAATTATTTCAATAAAACAGAAAATACATATTATAAGGACCCTGGTCATCTAGAAATATTCCTATCATCTTAATTTATCATTAAACGTTTTTAAAATCCGCTTCACAGCAGCAGATAGTGATCAATTTGAATCCAAATCTTTGCAGGAGTACAGAATAACAAAAGTCCAACTAATTGATGTAAAGTCCATCATCAGACCTTGTGTTATGATCATGACAACAATAGAAAGGCAGCAGAAAGAAAAATCTTATAGAATGACAGAATATTAAAATCAAGTGTCAGTAACCGCAATTCATGTATGAGATTGGAGAATGAACGGACAAAGTGGAAATGTGTGAAGAATATTTTCACCCGACTATGTAATTCGGATAAGTAACCACAAATTATTATTTGTTAATCTTTTTTATTACTATTATTTTCTATGATACTAGTATTTTGTCATAAACAAATGTCAACATTTCACACATCTTTCACAATTTTTCTATTTTCAAATACACTCCTCTTTCAGCATCACGAAAGTGTTTATTCAATTTATATTTCATAGGTATTTGTGTTTCTTTGGTGGGAGAAAATCGATAGTTTTTAAGCATCATATATAAACCAATTATAATTTGCATATAGGCAAATCTGTAACCAATACAAGCTCGTGGTCCTTTGCCGAAACCCATATATGCCATTGGATGACGTTTTACAATTTCTTCTGTCGAAAATCGGTTGGGATCGAAACGTTGAGGACTTGGATATATGTCTGGATCATAATGTAAGGCATCAATTGGCAAAACAACTCTAGTTCCTTCTTCAATGACATGATTTGTATTTGGTAAAATATAGTCCTTGGCAGCTTTGCGTACGATAACCGGTACAACTGAATACTTACGCGTTGTTTCTGATAAAAAAATATAAAAATATATTAGTTTCAACATTCAGTTTAGTACATATAGTGTTTATGGTACATACCGTACATACAGTGAAGTAAATACTTCATTTCTTTAACTGCTTCATAAGTAAGTTTGCCATCATGCTGAGCCATAACTTCATTCATTTCCGTCCGAGCCTTCTCTTGAATGTCTGGATTTAAAGCCAGTTCGTATAAACAAAAACTCATTACACTTGAACTTGTTTCAAAACCTGCTACAAAAAGTAAAAATGTCTGTGCAGTCATCTCTTCCATTGTTAAAGCATCTGATGTCTCTGATTTTCTTAACTCCATTAATATATTAAGATAATCTTTTCGTTGTATACCCGTTTTCTCTCGATATTCTACAGTGTCACGAACAATTTGAAAGAAGAAGTCTGAAATTTCTTTTGGAAACAGTTT